TTGTTGTTGTTTGTTTGGCCGTTTCCTCGCCTCCCTCTGCTCTGCCATCCACCCAGGGTCTCGTTATCTGGGATTAAAAAACATTCCCAGCCTGTCCTTCCCTCCAGGCCTGGAGGGGTGACCCGAGGGGTTGGGATTCAGCTCGTGGTGCAGGTGAAAAACCTGGGATTATTCCTCAGAGGAGCGATGAGATCCCCCCCTCCAGCACCTCCCCCCTGAGCCAGGGGCTGTGCAGAAGGAGCCTCTGGTTAGAGCCCTGTTCCCCAGCCCGAGGAAGGGGGGGGACACCTTTTATCCCGGGAGCTGGAGGCGTTTCTAGGGGGTTTCACATCTGCCTGTGCAGTGTCCCGGCTGGAGAGGAGGAGGATGGAGCAGGAGCAGCAGCTCAGGGGCTGGCACAGCCCCGGGCTGGTGGGTGCCCCTGGAGATGTGGCTCCTCCAGCTGCCCCCAGGTCCCGTGGCACCCTCAGGGTGTCACTGCAACGTTTCAGCCCAAACTGCCCCGTTCCCCCTGTCCCACAAAGCAGGAGTCTCTGCAGCAGAACCAACCCAGGCAGGACCTGGAACGTGCCCAGAAGTGGGAGCAGGCAGCAGAGCTTCCTGTGAGCCTGGTTCCTTGTGCTGGGCCGTGGCTGGAGCACGTGGGGCACCTGAAATACCTCAGGAACAGGTTTCTGCCACGTAAGGGCCTGAGGTGACCAGCTCCACTGCCACCCCTGGGCCCAGCAACCTCCTCCAGCTGCTCCCAGCCCCTGATCCCACCGCCCTGGCTCCTTTGAAGTGTGTGTCTGTCTCCAAACCTGTTCCTGTAGCTCTGATTTCTCCAGAAAGAATGTGGGAGAGCAGAGTCCCTGCCGGGCTGGGGTTGGCAGAGCTGGGCCTGGAGCTGCAGCTCAGCCTGAGCAGGCCCTTGGTTTGTTCCCCCTTCCCTGCACAAACCTTCTGAGGCACAAAATATTCATCAAAAAGTGGGATTTCTGCCTGTCCACCACCCTGGTGGTGAGGAGCTGAGTCCCAGGTCTTGCTCCCTCTGGGAAAACACAGGTCTTTCCCCCACGTGGGGGGTGTTGGTGGGGGGTTTGAAGCCCCTCCCCCCTGACATGTGTGTTGGGGCCCAGGGGTCCTGCGGGCGGTGGTCGAGGCGGCCAACGTGGGAGCTTCTGTCCTCTGCCTGTGTGAGAAGGGAGATGCCATGATCATGGAGGAGACTGGCAAGATTTTCAAGAAGGAAAAAGAGATGAAAAAAGGTGAGGCTTGTTCTGGGCCCAGGTTTTGACCCACGTCCCCCAGCTGCCCTGCTGCTGAGGTAGCTGGGGAGCCTCAGCTTCCCCTTCCATCCCTGTTGTTGTCCCAAGGGTTTCCATGTCCTCCCTTCAGGAGGACCTATGGGCCAGTGCTCACTGACCTGGGTGTTGTGACACCAGAGCGTGTCCCCCAGAGCTCCCTGTCCCTCCTTTGGGGGTCTCACTGCCCTGGGGGGGCTCCCTGGGGCAGGAGCAGAGCAGCCCACCACTGTGTTCTTCCTGGAATGGTCTCCACCAGCTCCTGAGTGCTGACCCTGCTGGGGCTGCTGCAAGATCTCATGGAGTCTTTTCCTCCCCGTGCAGGAATTGCCTTCCCGACGAGTATATCCGTAAATAACTGTGTGTGTCACTTCTCCCCCCTGAAGAGTGACCAGGATTACATCCTCAAAGACGGAGACTTGGTCAAAATGTGAGTGTCTGGGTCGTGCTCCTCGGAGCTCCCTCTTGGTGCCTGGGCTTTGCCTGCTAACCCTGTGTTCATTACCTCCTTGTCGTGGCTAATTAAGGAGCCTAATAGGTAGCCAAGTCTTCCGATGCCTCCTGAGGAGATTCCCAAGCTCTCTTGTCCCACCTGTAACCAGCTCCTTTGTCTTGCAGTGACCTGGGAGTCCACGTCGATGGCTTCATTGCCAACGTAGCTCACAGCTTCGTCATAGATGCCTCAAAGGTGGGTTTGTGTCTCTCTTGCAGCCTTAATTTGAGGTTAAAGAGCTGGTTTTGGGGCGTCCCAGGTTCCACTGGTGGCAGCAGCAGCACAGAACCCTGGGGGGGGTCCTGCTGTCCCTCACCAGGCCCCACCAGTCTGGTGACACTGCAGTGACAGGCTGGAAACTGCCCCTTCCCTGAAAATGAACCACCCAGCAGCTCTGCAGCCCCCCAGGCAGTTGGAATGTCTGGGGCAGACTGGTTTTGCTGGTCCCTCTACTTGCTGGGGAGGTGTCACTGCCCTCCCCTTTGCAACCCCCAGCTCAGGGGTGACCCCAACACTCATCCCTGCATCCCCAGCATGGATCCCCCTGGGGCACATGAGGACATGGTGTCACAGAATGTGTTTTTAGCTGCAGCCTCAGGAGGAGGAGGAGGGTGGTCTGGGCCTTGGGGATGTTTGTCCTCCAGTGGCTGCATCCAAAGGACTTGGTGGGGAGAGTTAAGTAGTAGTAGTAGTAGTAGTAGTAGTAATAATAATAATAATAATCCTTGAAGTGTAATTGAAGTGTTCCCAGTCAGTGTTTCTAGACACAGGAGAGTCTTGGTCTGGTTTTGCTCGGGGGGGCAGTGTCCTGTTGGATGGAGAACCTCCATCTCCCTGGGAATGTGGTGCTCCTGCCAGGAGGAGGGCAGGGAACACCCCTGAAGGACCTTTCCTCCCTGTCCCTGCAGGAGCAGCCCGTGTCGGGCCGCAAGGCCGATGTGATCAAGGCAGCTCATCTCTGTGCCGAGGCCGCCCTGCGCCTGGTGAAGCCTGGAAACCAGGTGGGGGGCTGGGCTGGGGGGCGAGGGGCTGGGGGGGCTCCCCCCAGCACTCCTGGGCCATCCCTGGGCTGTTCCTGTTCCAACATCCTCCTGCTCAGCTCCCCCGGGGGGAGGGGCTCTGGGGAAAGCACCAGCAGGAGCTGAGCGGACCTGGTGCCACTAGAAAAGTGGGAGCCTGGCACCTTCCCCTCCCTTTTCTGGAGGTGCTGGAGCACCAGCCAGTCAGAAAACTGGACTAGGTGACCTCCAGGGTCCCTTCCAACCCCCCACAATCCATGAAGACCTGCTGGGTTCAGCTCGTGGCTGGGAATTCTCTGTCCCTAACACGTTTTCCACGTGTCCTTCCTGCAGAACACACAAGTGACAGATGCATGGAACAAAATCGCCCACTCGTTTCACTGCACACCCATTGAAGGTGGGTCTGGGGGCCCGGGGGGGGATGAGGGTCCAGCTGCACCCTGAGTCCTAAAGACACCACCTCTCCACACAGCAGCTTTTGCTAAAAAACACCTTTCAAAATTCTCTAGATTTTTCTTGCTGTGGGTTTGGGTTTTTTTTCTATTGATTGTCAAAAGATGTGTTAATCTGGGAACAACAGAGGAGGGATTCCAGGGCTGGGGGGCATTGTCCTGGCTCCTGGACTTCCTGCCAACCCTGGGCAAATCCCATGGGCCTGCCCACCAGGCTGGTGTGTTCCTGTGGTCACCTCAGCCCAGCCCTGGGGTGTGGGGTCCCTGCTCCATGGGTCCCCTTGGTGCTTTGCCTTTCCCTGCCCTTAGCTTCCCTTGGAAGCCACACAGGGTGGTGCTGATCAGGGCCTGGGCAGCAGCAGGAGGTCCTGGGGTTGGGAACAACCAGAGCAGGAGGTCCCAGGGTTGGGAATGACCAGAGCTGCCCCTTTCCCCAGACCTGTGGGTGTCCCTGTGGCTGCTGGCACAGGAACAGCCACGGGTGCCTCCTGGGGGTGCCCATTTGTGGGTGAACCAAGGGCAGGAGGGAGCAGAGAGGCAACAACCTCCCCAGACACCCCCTCCAGGCTCCAGCAGCCAAGGTGCTGGGGAGGGACTGAACCTTTCCATGTGTTTGTGCAGAGAAGCAGCTGGGCCGGAGCTCCTGGCACCTTCTTGCTGCCCAGGGATTGTTCCCAGAGTCCCAGTCTCTGTGCCCAGGGATTGTTCCCAGAGTCCCAGTCTCTGTGCCTCTGCCCTCCACATTCCATGCCCCAGGGAGCTGCTGGTTCCCAGGACATGTTGCCTCCCCGGGCCCCGCATTTGCAGCCCAGGGGTGTCAGGGGATCTCTTGTCACCACAGGGATGTTGTCGCACCAGCTGAAGCAGCACGTGATTGATGGAGAGAAAACAATCATCCAGAACCCCACAGACCAGCAGAAGTGAGCAGGGCCCCTGGGGGGCGAGGGGGGCAGGGGTGACCCCGGTTCTCACACTGGGAAAGCAGCAGGTGGGTTTCACTTACCCTGGGGGCAGCCTAGCCCCCCCTTGGCCTCTTGCTGGAATCCAGCCCCACACAGACAATTACCAGCCCCTTCTGGGCGAGGTTTGGCTCAGGGTTTGGGGGCTGCAGGACACAGAGCTGGGGCTCCTGCCTGGCACCTGCCAGGGTTCTTGATTCCTGTCCAGTTTCTGGAAGGAGAAGCCTGGAGCTGCCAGCAGAACATCCCAACTGCTGCTGCTGGTTGTAGCCCTGCGTGTTCCCCAGAAGCTGTGCCAAGACTGTCTGGCAGAAGTTGCCAGGAGCCTGTTGGATGGTGATCCCTGTCCAAAGCACCTTGGGATGGATGGATAACGAGCTGGATGTTTCATTCCATCCTGTTCCAGCAACTCCTCAGGGATCCCTCAGCCTTGGGTCTCACACTGAATATTTAGAGCTCGGTGGCTTTAAGCCCCGTGCTTGGCCTGCAGGTCCTGGGGCTCAGTGACATCCCAGGACATGACCACAAAGAGCTGGTGCTGAACATCTGAGACCCCCCAGCCCTGGCTGGGGATGGAGCTGCTGGTCACAGGCAGGAGGGGCTCAGGCTGCCCAGTGTCACTGGCCACTGCTGCCTGGCATCTGCCCCTGTCCCCTCTGCCAGCTGCTGCTCCTCTGCTCCCTGGTGCTGCTTGGTGCTGGTAGCCCCGGGGGGGCTTGTTGGGAGGTGCTGGGGCCGTGCAGGGGGGTTGATTTCTCTTTGCCTCCCTTGGAACTCACTAAACTTTTTTTCCATCCAGGAAGGACCATGAAAAAGCAGAATTTGAGGTCCACGAAGTTTACGCTGTGGATGTTCTGGTCAGCAGTGGAGAGGGAAAGGTGAGGCTGGTGCCTCTGGGCTGCGTCTCCTGGAGAAAGTGGGAAGGGGAGCTTTTCCCACCCAAACCCTCCCAGCTTCCCAGTCTCCCGGCACTGTCTGTGTTCCCAGGCGAAGGACGCGGGGCAGAGAACCACGATTTACAAAAGGGACCCGTCCAAGCAGTACGGCCTGAAGATGAAAACCTCCCGTGCCTTCTTCAGTGAGGTGGAGCGGCGCTTCGACACCATGCCCTTCACCCTCAGGTGCCCCCCTGCCCTGCCCCCCTGCCCTGGGCCCCGTGGGTGGGAGGAAGGATCTCACAGGCTGCAGCGGGAATCCCAGGCAGAGCCCGAGGGTTGGGAATCTCCTGTGGCAGGTGGGGAGCTGGGATGTGGGATGAAAATAGAGCAGAGAGGGGAGGAAGAGGTGCTGGGGGCAGCACGGGGAGGTCAGGCTGTTCCAGTCAGGATTTTTAAGGGATGAACTCCCAGACTAAGGAAACAACGTCCACTTTTCACCCTTAAACCCCCTTTCCACTCTCTTGGGTGACTTTTCCCCCGGGTCTGCCCACTCGGGCTCTCCCTGCACCTTGAAGCTGCTGGGGACACAACTGACCCCCAGCCTGATCCTGGGGGCAATTCCCAAACCCTTGGGGGGGTGGGACCTGCCTTCTAGGGAAGGGCTGGAGCTCAGGAGCTGCTCTGTCTCCTCCCCAGGGCATTTGAGGATGAGAAGAAGGCCAGGATGGGGGTGGTGGAATGCGCCAAACACGAGCTGCTCCAGCCCTTCAACGTCCTCTACGAGAAGGAAGGTGAGTGGGAGGACGGGGCCAGTGCCCAGGGTGGCTGTGAATTCCAGAGGGGCCTGGAATTTATCCTCCAGGAAGCTCACCACCTCTTGGCTCCTGGATCTCCTTCTGGAGTCGTTCCAGTTTTTTGTGGAGTAATTTCCTGGGCAGGAGGGAGGGGTTGGGGGCTGGGGAAGGTGCTGAGGGGACAGTTGGGGCAGGACGAGGAAATTCCTGCGAGGTGGTTTATGGAAGTGGCACAGGAATGGAAACAGCTGGTTGGGAACAATCTGCTGAGGTCCCTGAGGGGTCCCTGGGCTGTGGGGCAGTGATGCCTGGGTCTGTCTTGCAGGGGAGTTTGTTGCACAGTTCAAGTTCACGGTGCTTTTAATGCCCAACGGCCCCATGAGGATAACGAGCGGCCCCTTCGAGCCCGAGCTCTACAAGTCGGAGTTTGAGGTGCAGGATGGAGACCTGAAGGTTGGTTCAGAGACCAAAACCATGATGAGCTGTGGCCCACCCACCTGGGGTCACCCCCTCTTTGTGTCCCCTCGGGGGGACGGGGGGATGGACGTGAGGGTGGGAGCAGGAGGCAGTGTGTGCTCGCAAAAGAGGAGCTTCCATGTCCTTGTCCATGTTTCCTTCCTGTCTCCAGGCCCTTCTACAAAGTTCTGCAAGCAGGAAGACCCAGAAAAAGAAGAAAAAGAAGGTAATTTGCCCACGTTTTGGGGGGGGGG